TAGAGAGCAAGGTCACCGCCAAGGACTTGCCACAATCAGTGATGGGCTGCGGGAGGGGATGGGTGGAGGGGTGGGGAGGAGGGACGGGGGGCTTATGTGTCACGGCACATCTTTGTTGCTGCAAAGCGTCACCTTCATTACCTCAATGCCAGCCTGTCTCACCCCCCCCCCCCCACCCCCCCACCCTCCCCAGCCTGGAAGAGTTCTGCACTGGATGCCTGAATCTGAGCCTCTCAGCCGCTCGCCCTGCTCGTAGCTGGACTGAAGTCGTACTTTTGCGTATCCGTGTTTTATTTCCTGTGTGTCGCGGCCCGGCGGTTGAGACGCAAGGGAGGTTTTGCCTGGTGATTGACGGCGTGGCCCGCCGGGGGGCAGTTGTTGTGCCGTGTGCTTGTCATGCTGAACGCAGCCCTGAGCAGGTGGAGGGACGGTTGCATGTCTGGGCAATCTGGAAGGACCGCCTCAGCTGCCGATGCAAAGATTAGCGATGGGGATGCAGCTGCTGCTGCTGCTGCTGCTGCTGCTGGGCAGCCTGTTGAGTTGCATGCAACTACCTCGTTGTAGATATGTCTGCAGGAGCTGTAGTTTCTGAGCGAGGTGCAAAAATGCAATGTTTAGTGTGTCAGGATGACGGCAAAACATCAGATTTGCTTCACTAATTCACACTATGTGTTGTCGGGCCACTACGAGCGGCAAACATGTGAATCGTGCTTTGTGATGTAAAATCTTAATACACAAAATGCTGTCAGATGAATATTTCCCCCACAAAATATATATATAGAATTGTAAAAGTAGGGATAAATGGTAATACACCATACACCAAGTACAGCTAGTTAACAATGAATACAATAACATATTGGTGCTTTCTCTTTCTTTCTCCATTAAGTTTCTCTTTAACGGAAACATGGATAAAATATATTTAGCTGACAAGATTAGTGACACTATGCTGCAGTTAAAAAACATGTAATGAACTCATACTGCACTCTAAACATGCATGACACGTGTTTAATTAACATACCTTACACTACACTTAAAAAGGTAGTTAAGATCAGCTCCAACATCCCATTCATGTAGCAGTGATACATTAATGTGACATCATTTAGAACCTTTAGTGAACCAGTAACCCCGATTTGATCGCACTGGTCTCAAACACAAGGGGAGAGGGGGGGTGGTGGTGGGGGGTTCTGGAGTGTTTGCTGCTGGGACATTTGGCTGACAGGTGAGAGCAAAACCAGAGGCCAACTGTAGGAGGAAAATGAATCAGGATGTTGTTTAGACGCTGTGGAGGCGAGTGAGGCTGCTGCAGGCAGATGTGACAGTCACAAGTGTCGAGTCCCAGCTGTCTGCACACGGCTCATTGTAGAACAACTACTGCCTGTGCAAAGCAGTCCAACAGTTTTTCCGTCACCCTATTTGTTTTACTTTTGTATGTCCCTAATAAATAGAATAATAATGTAATAAATAATGACTACTAAAATAAGGCAAGGTGCAGAGGATCAATGAAAGAACAAACGTCACGGTGGAATTAGTAAAACGCAAAGGGAAACTGCAACACAAGGAGGACCAGATGCATTGTGGGTCATCGTGCTTCACCACCAGGGGTCATCATCTGCTCCGTGCCGAACACGCCGGCCCTGATCAGCGTGGGACAATTTCATAATGTTTTGTAAAATGTCCATTCTACATGTCTATTTACAAAGTAAACCCATTGTTCGATAGTCGTCGGATGGCCCCCCCACCGCAGAAAGGGAGGTGTTGTGAAGTCCTGCCACTGCTTATGAGCGCAAAACGTGAGATAGTCGGGAAACAGACCCCGATTTTGTGTGTTAATGTGACATTAACTATCTTCCAGTTACTCTCCCTCTCTTTTTTTTAAGAGCCCTGCCCCCCCCACCCCCCCACACCAGCCTGCCCGAGACCCCCTGCTGTGGCTTAAACAATTAGGCTACGTGAGAGCCACACTAACGACTCTCCCTTGTCTTTTAAGATAACTGCAGGAGGAGGGGCAGCAGCGGGGGGACGCCTTGTTAGGGGGGAGGGGGGACGGATCCTGCGGTCAGTCGCTTGTGTATTTGCCCAGGCAGAGGATACCTTGTTATTGCCCTACAGGCCGTTTGTATGTGTGTGTGTGTGTGTGTGTTTGGATTGCCCCAGGTGAGATGTGTGCTCACACCGTTGGTGCTTGTGAGAAGTGCTGGTTTTCTCAGCTTCACGACGGGGCCGCTCTGCTCCGTCGCGCCTCAGATGTCACCCCCGTATTTTTCTCTGTCCCACCAATGTAAATAAGGCCATAAATTGTCCCTCTCATCACTAATCAGCCTCCGCTTATTTGCGTCTCCACCTTATTTAGGGGCAAATTACTCTCAGCAGATATAAGAACCTATTCAGGCTCGTTCACAGTGATGTGGGAAAATAAATAATAACAAGTGTAAGTGTTTGCAAGTGTTTTCAATCCACATGGAACGTATTTACAAATGACAAAACAATAGAAAACCTGCCACTTGTCGCCACTACTAAAATTAGATAAATAGTTTAAAACTATTTTGGTGGTGAAAATGAATTAATGTATATGTCCTTATGGACGTGCCCTGAAGGTAATATCAAGCAACTAAGAACTATCATCTATTCAAATTTAGAAGAAGCTAATTCATTCATTAATTCAATAAATTCATCTAAAAATGTTCATGTCTATTGGGACCCCAGGTTTGCAAAAACAATAGTTCAGCTCTACAATGTCTTCCGCATCAGGGTGCAGCTATGTGGCAATCGAACCTCAAACTGTGAGTTTTTCATCATTCGGTAGACTTTCTGAACTTGTGACAGAAGAACGTTGAAACGGCAAACTAATTTCACTTTGGGACCAGCTCCACCACCCTGCTCCATAATGTCCACTCATGATTTACCACGTTTTGTAATGAAAGAACAACACAGCGCTTGCAGGGAGGAGGGCTATAAACCACCCAGTGGCTTACAGTGACACACAGATCTTAGGACAGGAGGCCTGGAGCTTTGACCCGAGGAGCCCGTGGTGGGTCCTGCCTCGGCTTTATTTGCATAAATCAACAAGAGCAGCGAGCCCACTAAGAAAAAAACCCGTCCCTAATGCTCATTATCATTAAGTGTGAAATCAGTCAAGTGACAAGTGTGCCTGGATTTTGATGACCCCCGGGGTCAGCGCGAGGCCAGGGCTCTGTTTACCGGCGAGGTGACAGGCACACGCCCCCCACCCCCCGACCCTTTGAAATGAGACACGGCGAGATAATCTGTGATTTACAAGTTACAGTAGCTTCCAGAGCGCTTCTCCCTCTTGTTCAGGGGAGGAGAAGCACGCACATGTAGGACGTCTCATGTTGAGCACGTTTCTTCTTTCTTCTGGTCAGAGGGAGCGAGGCCGGGGAGATGGAAGGAGGCCGACGCGTCCAAAGAGCCACCGGGAGGAACCCCCCCCCCGCGCGCGGCATCGATTGGACGCCAGGTTGGTGCACTGGTGGGTTTTCTGCCTTTTCATTGATGACCGGCTCAGCTGCTCCGTCCGCTGTACCGACTCTTTATTTCTTCATTTGAATAATACAAAAGTAATATTTTTTGTCCGACACACGACGGTAGGACGTTTGATAAATGCTGTATTCGGGGCAGGCGCGCTCAACACGTCAGAAACTTTCTAATATTTGTTATCCGAAAGCTTAAAAATCCTTTCGTTTCCTCTTTGAATCTAGACTCCTTTGTTATCCGTTGAAGAAGGTCAGCAGCTTGAATCCCCCCAATTTGACTCAACGGCGTGATGTGGTGTAGAAACACTGGCAGGCCGACATCCTGCTGCACCTGAACAACAACTGAGTCATATGAAGAAATAAGACGCACTATTTTGTCTTTAACAGGATTGCAGTAGCAGCGAAAGTGACTCCTCCTTCCTCTCTCGGCCTCTTCCCCTCCCCCATTTTGTGCAAAAACAAATCTCCTTCTCTGCCCGGAGCCTGAAACTATTGAGTCAACAAATGCCACTGCGGCTAGGCAGAAAGAGGAGGGGGTTGGGGGGGGGGGGAGGTCTCCTTTAAGCCTGAGCTGGAGCTAAAGGGAGATTATTTCTCAGTCCCGCCTCTTAGTGAAGTAAAGAGTAACTAAATAGTAAAGCGAATGTGAGTGCCGTTAACTATTTAGCATTGTGATGAAACTACAACAACATACTAATTACTTACATTTTGTGGAGTTTTTCATTAAAGACTTGCCTAAATTGCGTTGAAGACACAATTTTGGACCTTTATTGTATCTTTAAAAAGATACAAAGGTTATTGCTCTGCTGAACTTCAGGGTTACAGCTTTGAAGGAGAGAACGACAGCAGGACTGTTTGTGCGTTTCTACTCGTGTCGTTCCAATAACCTTTTCAGGTCTTCTAAATCTTTTTTTTTGTTTTAAGTCCCTTACTCACACTGCTGTCTCTCTCTCTATCTCAGCCCACGTGGCCGGTGTCAACAGGAGTCTCGAATCTCGTTGTGCGCGTGAAGCAAAGTACGCCGCCTGCGTGCGCGCCGTCCTACGCTCTAAAAACCAGCCGGCACCGATGGAGGAGTGCCGAAATAAGACACAGCCGTTGGAAATAAGTGCATTGCTCAACTGGTTGGACTGCAAACACCGGGCCCCCACCCACCCCCCCCTCCTGCTTTTGCTGATTGTTGCTGTAAAAGGCTCCAAAACGAGAGCCATTACACAACATGGGAACCTATGTGACCAATGACAGACAGAGAAAGAAAATGAAAGAGGGAAGTTGCGATAGTCATGGCGAAAAAAAGGGAGGGAAAAACCCCTGAGTCACTTGCCTTCCTGTCTGAGGAGAGGGAAGGGGGGGTGGAGGCTCCAGTCAGACAGTTTGAGGCCAGTGCAATATTTCAGCATAAAGTGCACCGGGGTGGGGTGGGGGGGGGGGGTAAAGTCCCGTCCCGTCCCGCTCACGGAATCCACTCCTGTGCTTCGGGGCAGCCATCGCAGTGTTCACTATTGTGTGCGGCTGAGGGAAGGAGAAAAAAAAAGGAGGAGGGAGCAGAGGAGGGAAAGAAAACCTGTCTCTTTGTGTGGGAAGGACTCAGCAGGAAAGTGATTTTGTGATTATTTCAGTCTGCCAGCAATAGTGAGGCTCTCTCGGCCCCTTCCTGCCCGCCTCCCGCACCCTACCTGACCTGCAACGCCTCGTTCTATGTGCCTCTGCTGCCCCGGCCACATGCGAGTGTGCTCCTCGGGGCCGGCGAAACAGCGACACCCGGGCTCCTGACGATGAGAGCCGACGTCAGACCGGTCCCCATGAATATTGATGTGGAGGATAGTCTGTTTCATAGAAGAACAGAAGGAGGCAAGATGGCTGCCCTTTAGGATTTGTTAAAGAGGAGATCCAGACGGTTTGTTGGAATTTCTACAAAGTGGAGGGACGTACGAAAAAAAGAAAAGGAGGTGAGAATTTGCTTGCTGTGTTAATACTTCCCCTTTAACACTGGTGTATTATGGGGGGGTTTTGTGGGAGGCGAGGCAGAGCAAATGTGCCCCAGCGTAAGAGCAAGACTCAACATAATAAGGAGGGGATATTAGATAAAGCTACTCCAACATGGCTGACGATCTCTCTTCTTTTTGTTTGCCAGCAGAATTTTGAAAATCGCACCTCGTGTGTTTTCCTGTGTTCTGTGTTCAGTCCACATTCGTGCCGCTTTTGAATGCATGGTAGAAAATGGTGCACTTTAAACTGTTTGTCCAGGAGTTTCTCCTCTAAGCTTCATTTCTTGCCTTCATGATGCTCTCGGTCTTGCCTCAACATTTCAAACTTTCTCTCTTTTTTGAATTCACATATGTACAAAAGAGTGTTTTAGTGTTTAATATGTGTGTTATTGCTTTAGTGTAAGAGGTGACACCAATTTTTCTACATTTATGTGAAACGATCAGCTCATTACAGATTGATAGTATTTTTTTTTTAATAGGTTAGCAGGCAGTGTTATCTCCTGGTAGCTTCTCAATTTCGTACCCATGGCTGTGTGTGTGTGTGTGTGTGTGTGTGTGTGTGTGTGTGTTTGTTTGTGCTGTTCAGTAGGGAGACTAGAAGTAGGACGGTAAAAGTACACCCTGGCCGTGTTTAGCACTAAGTGCATAGTGTCTGCACAGCAGTGGAGCTGCAATAGCTTCTGGCTTTGTGTATCTCTGTTAATCAGCTTTCATTGCTTTCACCACTGAAAGACAAGCGGACAGACACAAAGGCAAAGCCCGAGCAGGAGCAGGAGGAGAAGAGAGTTGTGGTGGCAGAGTGAGGCGTAGGCAGACAAGGTCAGAAAGCCTCTGAAGGAAATGAAACTCTATCCTACTGCACCATTAACAGGGGGAACAAGAATGGCACTCGGCGATTGTTGCCAGAAGAGCAAACATCCCATTTCTCGCACAAGTTGGCAAAACTTCCCGGCGAAGCTTTAAACCCAACGGACACTTGACGGGGTTGTAGGTTTTTAATTGAGCACGAGCAGTTAAAGGTCACAACAATCTGACTGCTACGGTCTTTTTTTTTTTTTGAAAGAGAGCTATTGACAAGCAGATTGTCGAGGATACAAAGAGGAATGTGTGTCTGTGCTTCCTCTGCTTGGATGCGTGGGATCTGTAATCATTTAAGGAGGAATCGGTGTGGAGTAACAGCACGGTGACCTGCACAGATAAAAAGTAAACTACAACAGTGGAGTGATAACAGCAAGGTACCGTCAAACTGTAACAGTCTGGTTTTGTATTAGTATCCACATCTTTCAGAAATACACTAGTTAAATACAACATATTCTGTACATTGAGATGTTTTCAGGGCACCTGGCCTTATCTCAATTAGGAAATGGCTAATGGGTTGTTAGTTGTTTTCTTTTTACCTGAATTAACTAAGTGCTACTCTCAGATTAACATCTGAATGGCCTAATAGATTATAAGTGATCCCACTCAGGTTTGTGTATTGGGCTTGTGTATTCTACTGGCCATAGTCGTAATGCCACCACTGTATGGCCTCAGGTAAGGAGGCAGAGCAAAGGCACGGCCACGAGGAGGAGGAGAATATTTACTGAGTGCATTCAAATTACACAGTAATTACACAGCAGACATGCAGACATTCAGTTTGTTTTTTTCTGAATATAAAGCAAAAAAGTGAACTAGTGACTTCATTAACGTTTGTGCATACAAGGGGCTTCAGAGGAGGTGAAGGGGCGGTAAAGTAAAAATAAGGTCAAAATCACCACGCTGTGCACAGCAAATAAGAACATTATTTCATCACAGCCATGAACTCCTTTTTTTACCTTCTAAATCAAGCATTACTTTCGAGTGGCTTGTGTTTACACGCTGCCGTTGTGTGGATGAGTACGTGGCCCCACACACGACACTAAACACCCTCTTACTCTCAACTGATAAACAATCTGTTTGTAACGGAAGACAATCCCTTTTTTATTGTCTTGGTGGGAGCAAACCTGCGAACCAACACCGGCGCCGTTCCCCTCTGAGGCGATGGCGTGGCAGCGTTCTGATACGAGAAGCTTGGTCACTGTCTTTAGAGTCAACACGAGTGCTGAAGCACTAGCGTTCTCCATAGTACCCATAAAGTATGCGGTCACTACGCCAGATCAGGTGATTCAGACTTTTGGGTTTCTGTGCACATGTATTTGTGTGTGTTTGCCCATTGCCCAATGATCGTGAGTCTACACTGTGTAATGTCTCATGTGAAAGACTTAACAAGAGTAACAGCTTGCTTAAACATCACATTCCGCCATTATCTAACTCATAGCTGGGATGGGTTGCATCCAACCCGGTTCCTTGCTCGCTACTGAAAGCGCATCACGGTTGTGACGCTGTGGTTGTAACATCTGAGTTCCCCTTTGTGTGCAGTTGCGCTGTGCACAGGATTTACAAATGCTAATCCTGACCTACATAACAATGGCGCGTTCTAAATTCGAGAAATAACAGCACAAAAATCTTATTGGAGGTGTTTCACACGACCTCCGCGTGCCTGCTGTTACGTCAGCAGCTGAAAAGGCAGCAGAACATTAATGGGGCTTATCAGGGGCTCGGTGGGGGGAAGGGCCGGGTAGATCAATCACACGCGCACAGCTTCTCTCGTCTATCCGCACCTACGGATGAAGCCGCGTGGTTGGTTGCTCCTTCGCCGTGGCCCCGAGTCCCCTTTATGTCACTCCTGGGGCAGAGACAATATCACCTTTGGGAAGAATGTCCAGTTGCCATAGCGTTCCGAGACAATGCTGTCCACTTACAATACCCGAGCCCTTTACCCGAGCCCTCACCTCTGACCCCCGCTCTGTTCAGCCCACGCATCGTATTTCCACCCAGGGGCTGTAGCACAAATGACCCACAGAAGCAGGTTAGACATTTTATACTGCACTACCTGCTGGCCGGTCAGAGCTTGGGCTGCTTTCCTGAGACAAAATGGCGAGCTACTGAGTGTTGTATTGATGTCTGCAATATTGATTTCCCTCCCGTCTGCTATTGGGGGGGGGGGGGGTTGTTTTTCTGTTGAGAGCATGACAGAAAGCAGCACCGTGCAATCAGGAGCTTCTGCAGTGGAATGTTGGTGCCATAATGGGGTCGCTCATCTACACACAGAATCCCGCACCAATGGTGCCGGTTGGGGAGAATTCCCTTGTTGGTGAATGCGCGGTAGGACTGGTTTTGATAGAGAAAATGTGACGGCGCGCCATATGCCACGTTGTTTAGGAGGAATGAGCTGTATTGTAGGACTTGATCCGCAGCATATGATCCGTTCTGAAGCCTGCTCAACGTATGAAAATGTCTTCTGTGTCTCTTCTCACAACTTATCTTTTCAGTGAAAGTTTTAGAAAAAAAGGCAACCGAAGCCAAATCACCAATCATGTTATTTTTCTACAGCAGGTCATTAAATCGCATCCATCCCAACCCCCCTCCCCCGCGCCCACAGTCGCTTGGAGGCCCGACTTTGTTAAAGGGATTTCGACCTGTCATTGGTCGAATTGTGTAATGGTGACAATGTTTTTACAAGTCCTGTACACAAAAACGTTATCAGTAATTGACCCACCAGATGGGCTGTGAGTCCCAAGTGTGACTCGTGGCCGCTCATTGTCTGGCGAGGCCGCGGCGTGATTGCGGGGCGTGAGCGATAAGGCCGCGTCCCGGGTGGCACGCCGCCCGCGGTCGAGTGCTGCCTGGCTCTGCGAGTGTGTATCGATGTCAGGGTTTACCTCCGGGGTGAGACAGCGAGGGCAGCGACTCAAAGGCCTCCTCCATGTGAGCGGCGCGCACATGGCCGCTCTGTTTACAAACACCGTCCGGGAATTCCGCGCCGTGAGACACAGGCGAGATCTTGCGTAACCGCCTCCCCGAAGCGAACGCCTGTCCTACGCTGGGGACGGGATTCCGTCATCGGCAGTTCAGAATAAATTAAAAAAAGAAAAAAGAAACCCGAGCGCTCTGCAGCGTATGCGCTGGAGAACGGCGGGACGGAGAGCGGGCGTTTTCTCGTGTTGACTCCGGCCTCAATATTGCCATGTGAGGAAATAAAAACGTCTGGAAACCAATTTTTTTGTTCAACTTCAGTTTTCTAAAAAAAAACTAAAAGCATGTATTTGTTTGTCAGATAGTAGAAGTAAAAACATCAGCAATAAATGCAGTTGAGATAAAGCCGGAGCTCTTGAGAGCCAGAGTGTTATTTATAAGTCAACATGCAATTACGCAGAAGAAATCGCCTTACTTTCCCTTTGCCGACCGCGGCGCGTGCAGAGGTAAACCGCAGGCGCTCAATGGGCCTCACAGATCTTGACAAGTGAACCAAAGACATGCGTGGACTTTAACCTTATTAGGACTCCAATGTCGAAGCGTATAGAGTTCAGTCAGTTCGGCTTTGTCACGTGTCTAATCCTGAACGCTTCATCGTAAAAGAGGAGCAGGAGACTCTTTTCATTTAGAGTTGCTTACTGCTTAAGAACAATATCTGAAAAGAATGAATGAACTGTCTCCCTCAGATCTCCGCGGCCTCTACGGGGTTCCGTGGCGATCCCAACAACCTCTGATGGCTGTTTAACCCCCTCTACTAAAATGGCTGTCGGACATGGACGCTTTCGCTGCTCGCTGCTGTCATCGAAAAAAAGCTTTGGCCCCGCGGCCCCCCGTTGTCTGCGCGAGGAGCACAAAGACAGACAGCTGGTCCCGAATGTCGCTCAGGAGTGTAACCCTACCAAAGGCTTTGAATGACATCACCACGTACTTCTTCTGAGTGCCCGGAGTGGCTCGCGCTCAATATTAGGTTTCCAAAGTGGAATGCACGAGGGCAGCAGCTGCCGCCCGAATAGACGGTAACGGCGTCCCTATGCGTGTTTATATTGGGAACATTAAGTCTGATTTTAGCTGTGGGTGTGAATGGATAGAAACAAAACAAAGAGTGCCAGCGATGTGGGAGGTACAAA